CCCAAACCCCAAACCCCAAACCCCAAACCCCAAACCCCAAACCCCAAACCCTAAACCCTAAACCCTAAACCCTAAACCCTAAACCCTAAACCTTATCAACCCTAAACCCTAAACCCTCAACCCGTTTTCAAGGCTTAACATCGAAGGGATATGGGGGGGGGGGTTACGAAAAAATAAGGGAAGCCTAAAATAGATTCCCAAATAGTGGGATTCCCTTCTCATAAGGACCCCAAGAAGGTACCCCTAATTTCGGAAATCCCCGTACCCTAAACCCTAAACCCTAAACCCTAGACCCTAGACCATAAACCCTAAACCCTAGACCCTAGACCCTAGACCCTAAACCCTAAACCCTAAACCCTAAACCCTAAACCCTAAACCCTAAACCCTAAACCCTAAACCCTAAACCCTAAACCCTAAACCCTACCTATTTTGGGAAAGTGCCCATATGATCCCCACAGCTTTTGTCTGCCCTCGCCTGGACCTCAGCTGCGGCCGCGACGCCTTCATCCCCAACAGCGCGCAAAGGAGCTGGGTTGGAAGGGTTTAGGGTTTAGGGTTTAGGGTTTAGGGTTTAGGGTTTAGGGTTTAGCGTTTAGCGTTTAGGGTTTAGGGTTTAGGGTTTAGGGGTGTGCAGTGTGTATAGCATGTATGGAGTGCATTGCCGGGCTGGGGCGTTTGGACTCAGGGCTACGAGGGTGGAATGCAAGGTTGAGGCTTCTGGGTTTTGGATGTCCGGTTCTGCACTTCATGCGCCCTGAACTCTAAACCCTAAACCCTATGTAAACCCCGTGCGGCAAGGAGATGAACATGCTTCTAGACCTCAAAGCCGGAGCCCTCACTGCCAGCTAACCCCAAACCTTCTCTACCTGTATATTTAAACCTTCATGAAACGTCTTGGTTTTGCAGAGCCACGGTTGGGCTTGGGACAGCAGAGGTTTGTCGTCCTTCAAGCATTCTGTGGGTTTAGGGTTTAGGGTTTAGGGTTTAGGGTTTAGGGTTTAGGGTTTAGGGTTTAGATTCATACGCTAGAGAGACAATTCCGAACGTGGGATGGAACACCGGAGCCAGCAGATCGATAAAACAAGTCCCCAAACGCGGCGCAGCCAACTCTACTTAACTCTACTGGGAGGTTCACGGGTAGTTCCTAAATCGGATTATAGGCTCTGAAGTTATTTGGGGGGGCCCTAAATCCTAAGAACCCTAAACCCTAAATCCTAAGACCCTAAAACCCTAAAACCCTAAACCCTCAAGCCCTGGATCCTTAAGCCCTGGATCTCTACTTGGAGGTTCATGGCACTTACGAACCACGTATATCTGGGCTTATAACCCTACTTATACTTGGGATAACCCCTATAAGGCCCTTCTGGGGTATTACAAGTAGGGTTATAAGTACAGCTATAATTGGATAGTAAGTACCATGAACCTCCAAGTAGTCCATCTTCGAGGCGGCGATGCCTCTGCCTCCCCGAAATCCAGACAGTCCGTGAACTCCGCAGCCTCAGGCGCCAACGCTGGACGATCTGTTATGATCTGTTTGGGTTTTACGGTTTGTTCTCGGCATCCTCTTCCTTTTTCTATATATATATGGAGAATATATATATATATATATATATATATATCTGTGTGTGTGTGTGTGTGTGTTTTAGTTTCTTCTCATTATTCCTTTTTCTTTTGTTTCTGTTTATTATGTTTTTTGGGGGGAACCCCTAATAACATTATGGGTTTTTATTAAGTGGCGGGTTTGGCGGGCCGTGGGTGTGGATTGTCCTCTCCCTTTTACCTTCTTTGGCTTGGCAAGTAGGAGGCCTGGTGTTCGATGGATATGTCCCAAAATAGGGGCACCTCTTATATACCCCGCATAGAATAGAATCCACGTAAAGGCAGCCCCCGACAAACTTCCCCAATGTTCGGAAACCCCCCTAAACCCTAAACCTTAATCCCTAAACCTTAAACCCCAAACCCTAAACCCTAAACCCTAAACGCCTAAACGCCTAAACCCTATAGACCCTAAACCCTGTAAACCCTAAACCCAAACCCTAAACCCTACCCCCCCCCCCCACCCGCATTACGTCCAGTGATTCGGGGACAGAAGATGACGCGCGAAGCCAAGGGAACTCTGAGCTCGATGCTCCCTTAAGAGGTTTGGTAGTTCAGAGGTACCCTTTACTTTTTTTTGGTTACCCTAAACCCCAAACCCGAAACCCTGAATCCCTTATAAAGTAGCCACCCCAAAACTGGGCTTCTAAGAGGGGGTGCTCGACTGAGACTGCAAACCCCCCCCCACCACCCATCTCCAACCCCCCCCCCCTCCCACCGACCCACTCCCACCCCCTACCCCACCACCCCCCCCCCCCCCCCCCCCCCCCCCCCCCACCCCCCCCCCCCCCCCACAACACCCAGCCTTCCCGCCCCCCCCCCCCCGCGCCCCCCCAACCCCAACCCCCCCCCCGCCCCCCCCCCCCCCGCCACTCAACCCCCCGCCACCCCCCCCCCCGCCCCCCCCCCCCCGCCCCCCCCCCCCCCCCCCCCCGCCCCCCCCCCCCCCCCCCTCCCCCCCCCCCCGCGGCCCGGGGCCCCCCGGGGCCCGCCGCTGCCCCCCCCCGCCCCCCCACCCCCCCCCCCCCCCCCCCCCCCCCCCCCGCCCCCCCCCCCCCCCCCCCCCCCCCCACCCCCCCCCTGTTCCAATTATCAAGCTCCTATGATGGGTAGGTAGATGGCCTTGAGGCCCCTCAACCCTACTTGGAGGTTCATGGGTGGTTACAAGTAGGGTCAAGTAGGGTTGTAAGCAGAGCTACCATGCTTTATAAACCTACTTCTATGAACCTCCCAGTACACCCTAAACCCCAAACCCTAAACCCTATGAACCCAAACACAACCAATCTTGCGAGGCGATTCGCCCAAGCCGCGAGCATCCGTTTCTTCCACGGCCTCAGGCCTTCGAAGAGATTAAGTTATCTAAGGGTTAGGGTTTAGGGTTTAGTGTTTAGGGTTAGGGAAGTTACATGGGCCCTTAGTATGGTCCCTTAGCTCCTTTACAGGGTTCTGATGTTAGGGCCCTTAATGTGTATTGGGTAAATAAGGGGTAAAAAAGAGGTCCCCTGTTAAGGGCCCGTACTAAGGGACCATAGACCCTCAGAATTTAAGGCGTTCGGGGTCCCAAGGTTTGAGGTTAGAGTTTTGAAGTTAGGTTTAGGATACCCTAAGGTCCCAAGGTTTGAGGTTTAGAGTTTTCAAGTTAGGTTTAGAATACCCTAAGCTCAGAGTTTTTTTGGCTTAGGGCTTAGTCCCTCGAAGGACCCTCCCTCAACCCAGCGGTGAACCTCTAAACCCTGAGGCCGAAACCCAGCTCAGCATCCTAGAGGCTGCTTAGGGTTTAGGGTTTAGGGTTTAGGGTTTAGGGTTTAGGGTTTAGGGTTTAGGGTTTAGGGTTTAGGGTTTAGGGTTTAGGGTTTAGGGTTTAGGGTTTAGGGTTTAGGGTTTAGGGCTTTAAGTTTTAGGGTTTAGGCGGGGTCAAAATGTAGTTGTGTTTAGGGTTTAGCGTTTGTAAGGGCTTAGTCTTCGGTTCGGTGTCCGAGACATTCTAAGTCGCCCTTGATAATGGAAGCATCAAACCCAACATAATTTCATCCTAAACCCTAAGCCGAAAGCTAATATAAAAGACGGGCGTTGAGGGTTTGGGGTGTTAGAGGGCTCAAGGGTTTAGGGTTCAGGGTTTTAGGGTTTCGGGTTGCCCCCGGGACCCCCCCCCCCCACCCCAAGCCCTCTGCTTGACAAGGGGGCACCGTGACCCCCTGAAATATGCCTCGCTGCTTCAAGTCTTAGTTGTTTGAGACTCAAGGGAATCAAAACTCGGACCCCTAAGGGTGCACCCCAGCGATGTTTAGGGTTTAGGGTTTAGGGCTTAGGGCTTTAGGGTTTAGGGTTTAGGGTTCAGGGTTTAGGGTTCAGGGTTTAGGGTTTAGGGTTTAGGGTTTAGGGTTGGTTCCCTTAATGTGCTCCTTATATGGCCCTTCGAGGATCTTAAAGAAGGGCCCCCCAAGCCAAGCGTACGACCTTAGGGGTCCAAGGTAGAGTCCCATGATAAGCCGGAACAAGTAGGGTTTAGGGTTTAGGGTTTAGGGTTTAGGGTTTAGGGTTTAGGGTTTAGGGTTTAGGGTTTAGGGTTCTGTTGGAGACTGATATATCACACTTGGATGTTCATGGGTAGTCATAAGCAGGGAAAAGGTGCCTTAAATAGGGCTTCTAAGTAGAGGGACGATACTTATAGTCATACTTGCAACTACCAATGAACCTCCAAGTATGACGCCGTATAAGCCGTTTAATAAAGCTCACACTATGATTCGCCCAGCGAGCCCTACAAGAATCACAACAAACAATGGACATTGCCACTACCTCTTAGGGTTGCGTTTATGGGGCAGGCTTTAGGGTTTATGGTTTAGGGTTTAGGGTTTAGGGCAACTGCCGCGTACGGAGGTGAGCCCGCGAAAACCGCGGCCGCTTCCCCAACGGCCGCAGGCCGCAGCAAGCTAACCTCTGAACCCTAAACCCTGAACCCTGAACCCTGAACCCGAAACCAATTCAAGGTATCCTCATCCTCAACTCTGCACCATCCTAAACATTTTTAAACCCTCATACCCGAATCTGAAAGCCCTAAACCTTGATCTCCAAAACCCCTAACTACAATTCTAGAGTTGCAGACTTCCGAACAAATGTCAAGGCAGCATAGGGGAATGGCGCTTTGAGTTCCTTGTACTCTAGTATCTACCTGAGTAACTAACTGGTCTCTTGTTTTAAATGGTTCTAGGCTATGTGTTTACATACTTTGGGGTCCCGGTATAGCTCCTCAGGAACTATGTGTTCGTAAAGCCCAAAGGAATATTCAACAGATCGTTCTATGATTCTGAGGGGGAAGGGGAGGGTTACGGTTTAGGGCGTCGTGTACGTACCCGAAGATTCTTTTCGGCAGAAAAGCCTTTGAGGCCTCCAAGCTGTTGTGATGTATGCTCAGGAAGATCACCACGGTCATCACATGAACCCCCCCCCCCCCCCCCAATGACCCATAATCCATGACTATGCCGAGTTTGGGGCCTAGGCCTAAACCCTAAACCCCAAACTGCACTCCAAGTGACTGCTGCGGGCCGCGTGTACTTTCCAGCAGAGACCCTCGCCCAACAAAAGCATTCGGGGCCGTTGACATTTTAGGGTTAAGGGCTTTGTGTTAAAGTTTAAGGATTTAGGGGTTTTGTTTTAACCCTAAACCCTAAACCCTAAACCCTGAACCCTAAACCCTAAACCCTAAACCGTTACAAGGTCCAGGCTTTTGGAGCTAGCTCGCACCGTTTTTGGGTGAGGCTGAAGGGGGTTTGCAGTCTTTCGGCTTAGTTCCTAAACTTTCGTTGGTACAGTGGATTCATGGTTATAATTTCCCTAGGTAGGGTTAGAAGTATAGTTACCATACTTCTAACCTTACTTCTAACTACCCATGAACCTCCAAGTAGATACCCTAAACCCATCGCGCCCTAAACCCAAAAGTGGACTGTGTAGAAGGGGCCCAAGTATCTCCCACACAAGTATGAACCCAAAACCCTAAACCCTAAACCATAAACCATAAACCTTGGGAGCCAGGCGGCAAATTCAGGAGTCAGATCGGTCACTCTCTGAGGTTATCGGCCTGGCCGAGCTGTTCTTCATCGAGAAGTCCTCCCAAAACCTGTGTTCCCGTGCAAGACTTGGTAGGGTTTAGGGTTTAGTGTTTAGGGTTTAGGGTTTAGGAAACCTGGGTAAGACTCCGTGGTACCCGCCCAGATCTTCCAGAAGAGAGGTATTCCTGAAATCAGACAATACTCAACGAAGCTATGTTCGATCATCTGGGTGCTCCTAAACCCCTAAACTTCCTAAACCCCCTGAGCCCTCGAACCCTAAGCCCTAAACACTTTCGATTCGTGCCAGCGGTAGGTAGCGACGCCGCTGCGCGACCCCGGACGTCCTTGGCATCTACGGCCTCAGGCTTATGGGGGTTCAGGGTTTAGGGTTAGGGTTTAGGGTTAGGGCAGTTCGGGGTAGGGGGTTTAGGGTTTAGTGTGTAAGGGTTTAGGGGGGGGGGGGGGGGGTGCTTCTTCTAACTCTAGATAATTATAACTCAACCTCTTCCAGAAGAGCCCAAGCCCAGCTTAAAAACGGAATGCACCCTAAACAACCATATAAGGACCGTGAGTACGACTGGAGGTACATTCCTAAATGAAGGGGTATTGGGCTCTAAACCCTAAACCCTAAACCCTACGATCCCTCTAAACCCCTCTAACACTCTCTGGCAGCCTGTAAAACCCTCTAAAATTAAAAACCCTAAACCCAATTGGTCGCTTTCGGGTTCTTGTAGGGCGTTGTAGGGTTCAGGGCCTTCCATTACCCTAATCGCCTAAACCCTACAAACCCTACAAACCCTCTACAACCCCAAACCCCCAAACCATATTGGGCTCTTAGGGCATTGTAGGGTTTAGGGTTTAGGGTTTAGGGTTTAGGGTTTAGGGTTTAGGGTTTAGGGTTTAGGGTTTAGGGTTTAGGGTTTAGGGTTTAGGGTTTTGGGGGGCATTGTAGGGTTCAGGGCCTTCCATTTTTTTTTTGCCAGGGTCCGCGGTCGCGTCCGCAGGCCAAGTGGAGGCTGCAACTTGGCTGTGTTGACGAAGGCCGTAAGCAGAGGTGGGGTTTAGGGTTTAGGGTTTGGGGGTTTAGGGTTTAGGGTTTAGGGCTTAGGGTTTAGGGTTTTGTTAAACAGCGCAGAATGCTCCCCCCCCCCCCCGTCCCACCGAAACCGCAGAACCGAACCTGAAAGCATAAACTGTCCTAAGCTTTCAAATAAAGGCTGAGCATCCCTGAGCGTTTTCATAAAGCTGTCACGGGCGCGTGAAGTGGCGATTGTGCTCAGTATATGGAGAATACATTCAACAGGGGGAGGGTTGATCGAAATGGTGTCCGTGTTTAGGGTGTGGGGTTTGCCTGAACTGCAATGTTTAGTCTAGTGGAGAGATCTGGGTCCATAACTTAGGTCAACCCTACGTGCAACTTCGTACTTCTGCGGTGCTGTTTCGGAAGATCTGAGGCGAGAAGCGGGGCGGATGCGGTGGCTGACAAAGCCGGAGGCCAAGCCACCAGAGGCGACGAAGCTGCAGAGAAAGCGGATGCAGCCAAGGAAGCGGCCGAAGCAGCAGAGAAGGAGGAAGCCGAGAAGGCCGCAGAGAGGGCCGCTGCAGAGAAGGCAGAGGCCGAACGAGCGGACAGGGCGGCAGCGGAGAAGGCAGCAGCGGAAAAGGCAGCAGCAGAAAAGGCCGCAGCAGAGAAGGCAGCGGCAGAGAAAGCAGCAGCAGAGCAGGCGGCAGCCGATAAAGCAGCAGCGGAGAAGGCAGCAGCAGAGAAAGCAGCAGCAGAGAAAGCGGCAGCAGAGAAAGCAGCAGCAGAGAAAGCTGCTGCGGAGAAAGCTGCTGCGGATAAAGCAGCAGCGGAAAAGGCCGCAGCGGAGAAGGCAGCGGCAGAAGGGGTAGGCAACTATTTGCTTGGGAACGACATGCAGGTTCTGCAAGCTGCTTCTGAGGAGTCTGCTTACGAGGGGTTTAGGGTTTCGGGTATACATATATACATAGAGATGTATGTATATATATATATATGTACATAGAGAGAGAGGGAGAGTGATAGAGGGAGAAACACACTCTGCTTCCAGATTCGTGGGGTGGGGGGTGGGGCGGGTTGGAGGGGGGTGGGTGGGGGCTGGGGTGGGGTGGGTGGTGGGGGCTGGGGGGGGGGGGGGGGGGGGCGGGGCGGGGGGGGCGGGGGGGGGGGGGGGGTGGGCTGGGGGCTGGGGGGGGGGGTTTGTGTGATAACAAGGAACTGAGTAGCCCCAAAATGGAGCTAAACCCTAAACCCGAACTACACAAGCGGCAAACGCCTCAATTTAAGGGGTCTTGGTTGTTGCGGCAGGCCGCTGCCGATAAAGAATTCGCTGAAAAGCTTGCGCAAGATCAGGCAGGGCGTCCATGGTTTATATTCCTTGGTCAAGCTGCTTTGGAAGATCTGGGGAAGTGAGATGAGTCACTCTTCCCAATATCCTGCAGCAGCCGCCCCGCGTAATCCCTGCCAAAACAGCTTGTCAGTAGCCTGACATCCGAACCCTAAACCCCTAAAACCCTAAACCCCTAAACCCCTGAACCCCTGAACCCCTGAACCCCTGAACCCCTACACCCTAAACACTAACCTTATTTGGGATCCCTTGCGTGCGGGGCTTCGTGGATTGTGGATTGCGAGTGTCGATGCAATGTTGGACACCAACCCGAAACCTAAATTTGACGAGTTCTCCGTCAAGGGATCCCTAATAGCGTTTTGGGGCTTAGGGTTTGGGTCTAAATCTACTTCCCTTATCAGCTGAAGCTGCAGCGGGAAGGCCAACGTGACAAAGCTGTGAGAGAGCCCAGCACCCCTTAATGAAGTAGTGCAGTCCTGAAATGGTACATTTTTCTGAATTTAAGGGTTCAACCTCGGGCCCTCAAACCGAACCCTAAACCCCAAACCCAAACCCTCGCCCCCTGGTCCAGGCGCAGAGAGCCCAGCAGGCCGGGTTTTGGGTTCTGGTGTTTAGGGTTTATAGGGTTTAGATCTATCATAATCCCTATGAAGGACTGATAGTATAAGGGGGAACATCCCAAGTTAAACGATGCAAGGAACCCTATGATATTTAAGGGAATGTTCCGTAACTAAGGGGTATTGGAGTCCTTGGGTTCCTGAGCCCAAAAGTGCTATCATTTCCAGGCTCCCCTTGCTTTAGAGCTTCCGGATGTAGAGGTGTATAGGGGTGACCCTAAACCCTAAACCCTAAACCCTAAACCCTTAACCCTTAACCCTTAACCCTTAACCCTTAACCCTAAACCCTAAACCCTAAACCCTAAGACCCAGACTCTGCCAGAAGCTTCTCACAATCTCATGGGTTCCCCTACTTCCCCCCCACCTCTCTACTACCCGCCCTAGGTTCCCCCGTAGCTAAGGTTATTTAGGGATACTCAAGCCTAATCGAGGCTATTTAAATGGGGAACCTAAGCCGTTTAGGGTTCAGGGCTTAGGGCTTAGGGTGTTTGGTAGTGTAGAGGGGGGAGTGCCGGAACCGATGACCATCAAGCTGGAGCAAGGATGTGCTTTTCAGACGGCTTCGATGGTCTCTCCCAATTCCCAGCTCCATACACCACCATGCTCCTAAACCATGGCCCTGAACAGCGCTACCGTGATGAGAGGGAGAGGACCCTGTGACGACATCCCCCACTCCGAGGCCGGTTGCAAAGGCGACACCAGCACCTCCCACACCTGTGATGACGGCACCGCCTGTGAGCTCTGCCCAGGCATCCAGTGCACCAATGACACCATCTGCTCCAGCCGTTGGTCGCATCAGGAGTGAAGAGGTTCAAGCCAAAGATAAGACGGGCAGAGATCGCACACGATCTCCCCCGGGGCAAGACTCCGATGCATTGATGGCCGAAGTCCCATACACCTGAACCCTAAACCCCAAACCCTAAACCCTGAACCCTAAATCCTAAACCCGAACTCAAAGCCCCCTTCAGCATTGCGGCCGAACCAAGCTCCCACTTGCAGGCTTCCGCGGCGGCGCTCGCCGCGGGCAAGGCGCTCTCCAAATATGACTTAAAGCTGGGGCTTTGGGAATTTAGGGTCCCTAAACCCTAAACACTAAGCCCTAAGCCCTAAACCCTAAACCCTTCCGTGCGCATGGTTAAGGGCCTTTAAAGGGCTCCGGCCCTAAGGTATTGAGGTGTCCAGGTATTCGAGTGTAGGGCTGGCCCAGAGAGTCCAGTACTCCTTTATTTGGTTTTTGGGTTTTGGGTTTAGGGCTTAGGGCTTAGGGCTTAGGGTTTAGGGTTTAGGGTTTAGGGTTTAGGGTTTAGGGTTTAGGGCAAGTAGGACCCAGAGTAGACCCTTATTCCCCTTTTCCAGGGTTTAGGCTCCCCTCGAAGCACCTTTAAGCCAAAAAGGGCACCCTCTTTGTTCCTAGGTTACTCTTCTTGGTAGCCTAGTGGTACCCTTTTCCTTCTTTTTTTAAGGTTCCCTGTAACAGCAACCAACCCCAAACAGGGTGCCCTTATTATATTATGGCTACAGGGCTACCAAGTCTTACTCTGCGAGGCCCCAAAACCCTACTTGGAGGCTCATGGGACTCAATAACCACTTATAGCAGTACTTATAACCCTACTTATAATACCCCTAAATGGCCTTATAGGGGTTATCCCTATTACAAGTAGGCTGATAAGCCCAGTTATACGTGGTTATTACGTCCCATGAACCTCCAAGTAAGCCAAACACAGTTTCAGGAATGTCCTCTTCGCGGCCCTTATTTTAAGGGTGCCGTACTATTGGACCCCAAACTACTACTTGCATAAGAACCCCCAACAAAATCCAGAATAAAAATCCCTGTATGACCTTCATAAGGACGAATCTTCTAGTTTTTTTTTGTGGGGTTCTTATGCAAATTGTAGAAAAAGGGACCCCTAACCTGGAGAGCTACCCGCTTTCTTGATTAAGGGAACCCAGGGACTCCAATACCGCTAAATAAAGTAATATTCCTGCAACCATATAAGGAACCCTCTTGTATATTAAGGAGTATTCCTTAATTAAGGGGCATTGGTTGGGATTTTCCCCTACCACCAACAATCCTTAATAGGGCTGATAGTAGGGGTACGATAATCCCTCTTAAGAACTGTTAGTATAAGGGGGAACATCCCAAGGTATTGGAGTCCCTGTTCGGGTTTCAACTAAACCCTAAGCCCTAAGCCCTAAACCCTAAACCCTAAACCCTAAACCCTAAACCCTAAACCCTAAACCCTAAACCCTAAACCCTAAACCCTAAACCCTAAACCCTCCCTAAACCTTCTGGGTATTCAGCTCTTTGGGTTGCCAGGCGCAAGCAGCAGCCGAAGCCGAGTTGCGGAGTCGCCGTCAGGCGTTTGGAGATTGGGGGATTCTTTCTAGCCCAGTTGTACCCTTTTCCCTTTTTTTGGGTTCTGGGTTCCCTCGTAAAGTAACCAACCCAAAAAAGGGTGCCCTTATTATGATATGGTTACTGGGCTGCCAAAGACTAGGAAAACCCGAAGCCCGCAAACCCCACAAAGCCATAAACCTTGGGATGTCCCCCCCTGTTACATGAACATTCCTGAGTAGGGATCATGGTACGCCCTATTGTAATCCCTATAAAGGACTGTTAGTAGCGGGGGCAACATCCCAAGATAAACCCTAAACTTACACTGGGTATGCCCCTGAGATATTTCCCCTTTCCCTTAGTGGGTTTAAGAGGATCATCGTTAGGGATATCTTTCAGAGGGTTTTGAGGGCCATCCTAGTACAGTTTAGGGTTCAGCCCAAACCCTGAACCCTAAACCCTAAACCCTAAAGTCTCGGGCTCAGGGTCTGGGAGATACTGCACCGGTGGATCTTTTTGAAGCCCATCCTCAAGACATCCTGGGTTTGAGTTTCGTTCGTTCACCTACTACAGATATACATATATATATATATGTCTTTATCTTTTATATTTACTGATTTATTTATTTAGTTGTTGTTTATTTATATTGATTTATATTTATTCATTTACATACTTATAGTTGTTCATAGATATTTCTTTATTTGTTTGTTTAGTTACTGTTATTTGCAGCCATGTTGTTATCTTCCTTATTTATTTGTTTATATGAACCTCCAAGTAAGGGTATCCTAAACCCTAGAACCAGAAACCCTGAACCCTGAACCCCAACATACCCAAGCATAGGAGAAAGGGTGTCCGGAGTTTTTTATACAGATGTGGAGGCATGTCCCGTATCTTGGGGTTGCCAGTGTTCTGGCATTGTTCGAAATTCTTTGCAGGTCCTCTGTAAAGCCTGCCATGCCACATTCAGGCTACCCAATTTGAGAAGCCCAAAGTCTTTCCGATGTTCAGAAGGTGTAAAATACATATACCCTGAACCGCAAGCTGTAGAACCCTAAGCCCCAAACCATCGAACCCTACACCCCTAAATCCCTCACGCTCGAAATCCCAAGTCCGAGAAAACTGAGCTGCAGGAAGTGACAAGACTGAAGAACGACATCGAGAGGCCCTTGTGGGAACGCTCTAGGATGTGCTATGATACCCTGTGGGTTTAGGGTTTTAGGGTACAAAGGTACAAGTTGAAACTTGCGGCTTCGGACACTTTGCAGATGCTTCCTTGGAGATGCTACCGGACCACCCAGGTAAGTTCCTTGGATTGAGCGCGTGTCAACATCTCACAAGATGTGGCTCATAGAGGTCTGTTCGATGTGCTTGCCGGTTTTATGTGTAGGTACTGAAGGAGTTGAACCAATGTACATAGTAGCTAAGCAGATGGTGAAACAGATCAGCAGTGAATCTCCCGAAGGCAAGCACCGAGCAAAGGAACTCCAATACTTACTCCTGAATCTAGGAGTATTCCTTGAAATATAATGGGGTTCTCGCTATGGTTGAAGGAATATTTCTTCATTAAGAGGTATTGGAGCCTCTGGGCGCACTATCGTTGAGTAGGAAGTGAAATGGTCAGCTCTTGAAATTAGGGTTCGTTTTTGGGTACCCTAAATAAGAGGGACCGCCTTATAATAAGGACCCAAAGAAGGACCATAATTCAGGGAAATCACCACATGCTTGAATCTGGCTGGTTCTTAGTAGGGAATGAGGGAATGAGGGCCCTATATATACCCTTCAAGGGATTATGTAAGGCCCTCATTCCCTCATTCCCTACTAAGAACCAGCGAGTTGAATCTGGAGTATATGTCCGACCAGCCGGGAGCCATTGTTTAAGTCCTCCTCGCGCCAGAGAGGCAAGCAGACGACCACACGTGCTTCCTCACTTCTTCTCTCGACAGCAACTGAGCTAGCCGAAAACGACAACACCCTAAACCCTAAACCCTCACGCGCCGCCCTTTGCTTACCACGGTTTCCGGAACTGCTGGCGTGCGTCGCCTCAGCGCTCTCTTCACAACACACTGCGCCGTTGTGGACTGCCAATTGCTTAAAGCTTGGTAGCCCGGTTTAGGGTTTAGGGTTTCGGGTTTAGGGTTCTTTACCCGGGTTCCCTTATAAAGTAATCAACCGAAAAAAGGGTGCCCTTATTACAATATGGTTACTGGGCTACTAAGAAAGAAATAAACAGCATTCTTCGTCAAAAGGGCCGTTTAGGCATTATCATCTCATTTTTTTTTGGGAGGGGGAGTTCTTAAGTTCATAGTAAAGAATGTAAGGGCAATATAGGGATTATTATCTTTCATGTTTGGGGAGGTTTCTTAAGCAAAAAGTAGACAAGTAGACAAGCCTAAACCCGAAACCCTAAACCCTAAACCCTAAACCCTAAACCTTAAACCCCAAACCCTAAACCCAAAACTCCAAACCCTGAGCTGTTGAGACTTGCAGGGCCCGTGAGTCCGCGACGGCGGAGAGGGAGAGTTGACCTCAGTTGCTCGGGTTGGCTTAGGCGTTTAGGGTTTAGGGCTTAGGGTTTAGGGTTTAGGGTTTAGGGTTTAGGGTATAGGGTTTAGGGTTTAGGGTTTAGGCCCTCAGTGTTTAGGCGACAAGGGTTTTAGGGTTTTAGAGTTTGAGGGTTTTGGCTTTAGGGTTTTGGGGTTTCTGGGTCTTAGGGTTTAGGGTTTCTGGGTTTTTGGGTGTTGGGGTTTTAGGGTCTTAGAGTTTGGGGTTAGGGTTTTAGGCTATAGGGTTTAGGGTTTGGGGTTTAGGGTTTTAGGGTATGAGGCTTTAGGGTTCAGGGTTTTAGGCGTGGGGGTTTAGGGTTTTCGGGTTTTGGGTTTTAGGTTGTAGGGTTTGGGGTTTAGGGTTTAGGGCTATCGTGGAGTGCTTTGGCTGGCGGCCTTTGTGGCCTTTTTTTAAACCTGGATTCTGAATGGAGCATTCGGGTTTCGTCAGTGCGTAGGGATTTAGCGTGTTAGTTTTCGGGCTTTGGAGTTTTTAGGGTTTTGGGGTTTGGAGTTTTCAGGGTTTGGCGGGGTGTTGGGCTTTGGGGGCTTTTGGGTTTGGAGCTTATCGTAGCAGCTGTCACGAATGCAACGTGGCCACGTTCATCATGGCTTCTCCGGACTTTCGTCATCATCAAGGACGGCAAGGTGGTAGTCTTCAGAGCAGCGTCGTGGGATGGCACGACATTGGAGATGCAATTGCATTCTCTTGCAGGAAAAGATTTAACATTTCTTACACAAGAGGCGAAGTTCTTCACGGGTTGATCAATGGGACCCCGGTCCGCATCACCGTGATGCAGACTCTAGCACCAGAGCCCATTGATGGGACGAGCCTCAGGGACAAGAGGATTATTGCAGCCTATGATGTCGGCGCAGTATCGACGACGAACGCAAAGTTTCCAACCCAAATTAAAGGGGCTCAATTCACCGCTTAGTCTGATAATGTTCCCCTCCATCCTACCAGCTGATCCTTAGACAAGAGCACCTTCAGCTAAAACCCTACCCCTACACCCTTAAACCCGAAAAGCTGTAACCCTAAACCCCAAAATCGTCCAAAGTGTAGTGTCCACGGCCGCCAGCAAGGGACACCGAAGATGTATTAGGACATCATATCAAGTTCATTTTATAGCCCTCAGAATTGGTGTTGTGGGATCATCGAGGCTTATAACCCTACTTATAGTAGGGATAACCCCTATAAGGCCCTTTAGGGGTATTGTAAGTGGGGTTATAAGTACAGTTATAATTGGCTAGTAAGTACCATGAACCTCCAATTAGCAGGGTAACTACAACGAGTCACGACGTTCAGAGTGCTGTGCTTGGAGGTCATTTGGGTAGTTGTAAGTAGGGTTATAGGTATGTCAACTATATTAAGGGTACTTGTAACCCTACTTGTAGTTACCCTAAACCCTAAACCCTCAACCCTAGACCCCAAACCCCAAACCCCAAACCCTAAACCTAACTGCCCACATGAACCTCCCAGTAGTCAGAGGCGCCTGTCCCAGCTCAAGTGGCGACGCGAGCAGGTGGAGAGGGATGTGCCTAAACCCTGAACCCCGAACCCTGAACCCTAAACCCTAAACCCTCAACCCTAAACCCTAAACACCCTGAACCCTGAACCCTAAAGCCTGAACCACAAACCTTAATGAAATGCTACACCCTCAACCCTAATTCCGAACCTATGTTTGTTAAACAATGGTTGGGATCCCGTAAGCTTAAACCCTAAAGCCTCTCAACCCTAACCCCTAAACCCTAAGATGAAACCCTACTAAAGCCTAAAGCCTCTCAAACCAAGAACAGGGCAGCCCTTTTTGTGGTTGCTGGGAGCCTAGCCTTTCTGGACCTGACCTCCCGGTTTAGGGTTTAGGATTTAGGGTTTCGGGCCCTAAGCCCTAAACCCTAAACGCTTGGGTTTAGGGATTGGGGTTCAGGGTTTAGGGCCCCCGAGCCCTGAAGCCCGTTGAATTTTTGAGCCTTCAATCCCTGAAGCCTTACGCGTTGAAGCCTTTGAACGTTTAGGGCTTAGGGTTTAGGGTTTAGGTTTAGGGTTTAGGGCCTGAAACCCTAAAGCTCAAAAGCCTTAAGCCCTAAACTCTAGATCCCAGCACGATCCGTCCGCAATGATCAGATGCACAAACCCTTAATTAAACTGGAATGCTCTGCAGCAAGCACGGCCGACCGAGCATTTCCTGATTTTTTGTAAGTAGTGTTTACTTCGACTCGAATGAATCGTAGTTCCTTGTTCAGGTACGGGCACCTCAAAAAGGAAGATAGGAAGAGGTCTACCTTGGTTGGGTTCCGCATTGTGAAGCAAACAACAACCGACTGCAGCTCCTACAGATCAACAAGAAGACGCAGCACGACCTGCAGGAGACAGACGTCAGACGTCATCGAGCTGCTGGATTGGCTCACCCAAAGTGTGGAAAGGCACCGCTCATGACCACGCTTGCATTGCGCCAAGCGCATGGGCTTGGTTCTTCTCGCGACGAGATCCGTGTGCTTGCGAGAACTCGGCAACTCGGAAAGCTGCGGCCGTTTACGCCTACACTTCGTGATGCATGCGGTCTCAGTTGGGGAAAGGGTTTTCCTTTTGGCGAAATGAAGCCTTTGAAGCAGCGCGATCTAGGCCTCAGGCCTTGAGGCTGCTTGGGGTTCGTGTTCACAAGGAACAGGGCTTTGGGCAGTAGGTGCGGTAGCTGCAGGCAATCTTGAGGGGCATGTCAGCACGACCCTGGCTGCACATGCGCAAGAACCTCCCCACATTCAACTTGCCTACCGCAGCATGCGTTTGCAAACGCAGGCGCTCAGTGGCGTCGAGAAGCTCTCAGCGCAAATCGGGCTTGCGCCTGAGCGCCGTCATGCACCGCCCCCTAACCCAACGCACGCCCACCGGTGCTAGTCTGGAAAGTATGTGTTCCTTCTTCGGGAGCATGCGCGGTGCTTATTCGCACTTTGCCACCATTCGTAGCTTCTCAATGATTTCGTACGCGCATGGCTGCAAACTAAGTGCCTAAGCCCCAAACTTCAACACAAAGTTCCCAGAGAGCCCAATACCCCTTAGTTAAGCAAGATTCCCTAAACCATAAAGGGATCCTTAGTATGATTTAAGGAATATTCCTTAATTACTACACTATCCTAAACCATAAAAGGGATCCTTAGAATGATTTAAGGAATATTCCTTAATTAAGGAGCATTGGGCTCTTTGGGTTCCGTCTCGCCGACGCCAAGGCATCCAGACATGGCAGACTCCGAAGAGGCACTGGCCGTTTCGGGTTTAGGGTTTAGGGTTTAGGGTTTAGGGTTTAGGGTTTAGGGTTTAGCAATGAGCCCAGCCTGGAACTTTCTTTACCTACAGTCTTATGGGTTATACCTGCTGATTATGGGTAGTGGTAGTTACGACGAAGCAGTAGGTAAATGGAGTCTCAGGAATACCCTCCCTTTCTTGTACCCTGTATCTTTTATATGTCCCTTTTTGCTGTGTACCCCCTGCCACCCAAACCGATTTGGGCCCTCGCCACACGTGGTGAGGAGAACAAGGGGGGGGGGGGGGGAGCACAGCAAACTGACATGCATGCCACATGAAATACCTCGGGCTCCTTGGGGGGTTATGCCCTAAATATTTGCAGGGTTTTGTTTTCGGAGTCACAGGTGCTCTTTATGTCCGGAGAACTTGACGTTGTACGGGACCCCTCAAACAGTGGCTCGATCAATAGCCCAGCATACTTGACTTTACAAGGGACGTCTCTGCAAAAGAGGCAAGGTTTAGGGACTTAGGGTGACAGGATTTCGGGTTTTAAGGGTTACCTGGACCCGCAGCGTATGCATAACCCGAATCCCATACACCCTGAAACCCTAACCCTAAACTTAAAACCCTAAACACCAGCGTTGTAAGGGTGAAAGTTGGGATGTTCCCCCTTCTGCTAGCAGTCCTGAATAGGGGTTATCGTACCCCGTATTATCATCCCTATTAAGGACTGTTAGAACAAGGGGGAACCCTAAACCCTAAACCCTACGGATCTTGCATCGCTTGTGTGGGCTTGTTGGGGTGTAGGCGACCCTAAACCTTAAAGCCTATAAAACCTAAACCCTGATCCCTAAACCCTAAACCCTAAACCTTTAAGGGTGGGACCTACACCGCAGGTGCTGAAAGCCCAGGCAGAGGTTCGAAAGGCCGCGGAGGCCGCAGAGAAGCTGTCGGGAGACCTGGATATTGGGTGTTTGTTGGGGTTTGGGGTTTAGGGTTTAGGGTTTAGGGGTAGGGCTTAGGGTTTAGGGTTTAAGGTTTGGGGTTTATGTTCTAGGGCTTCGGATTCAGGGCCTGGGGGTGGTTTTTGTTGTTGTTTCAAGTGCTAGGTGTCCGGACTCATCAGAGCAAAAAGGCTGAACTCCCAATTCCGAAGCCGCCCAGAGCCTTGAATCCTTGAACGCATCTTTCTACGAGGAGGGGCCTGTGACTTACATGGAAAGATCCGAAAATGGGGTCTATGAGTGTCTGAACAGTATCGCGACTCAGGTTATATAAGGATCTTAGCCATAAGTAGAGTGCCCTACAATCACGGTAAACCCTTCTTGCGTGCAACGAGCTTTGGCTTGCTGCCCTGGGCCTCGATAGCCCCTTAGGGCTAAGGCTGCCTGCGAAAGGCAGCCCAGATTCTGCAAAAGATTTGCCGTGCAGGGGTGTAGAGATGCGCATGCAAGGTGTATGCGTGAGGGCGGCGGTGATTTGAGTGGTGCTTGGGCAACATCAGGGGTTTCGTTGGTTTGTGTAAGACACCAGCCTTGAGAATGTTTGCCGGGGGGGGGCGGGGAATTGCCGTCGGACTTGGGTCCTCGCGCAACAGGTTCCACTCTATCCACTCGAAAACACGAATTCTCCTCCTGTATTTCGGAAGCCCACCCAGTCGGACCGAGGCGCGCGGAACTGAATCAGAAGAAGAACAACCTGTCCGCCATGATGCTCATCCGGAAGAAGCCTGAGACTCAGATCTTCCAACACCCTAAACCCTAAACCCTAAGCCCTGAGGAATGGGGTCAAACTGGTGCCCACGCACCTTGTAGCGGGTTTAGGGCTTGTGGCTGAATGCACCTTAAAGTTTACAGGGTTCTTCTGAAGTGGTTTAGGGTTTAGGGCTTAGGGTTCCCTGAAGGAAGCAATATTGTGGAAGGTCTGGAGACCTTGGCGCACAAAAGAGCAGCCCAAGAAGAGCCTCATTCAAAGCCCAGGTAGGCGCGAATTCCCCAAACCCTGAACATCTTGGTAGCCCAGCAGTGCCCTCTACCCTTGATTTTGATTGTGGGGGTCCCTTTCAAAGTAACCAACCCAAACAGGGTGCCCTTATTGTAACATGGCTACTGGGCTGCCAAGACATTCTGCGTGCGCCAAGTCATTCCGAAAATCCACGCCCCCACCAACCCTTAAGCCTGAAACCCTGAACCCAGCTCCTCGTCGAGATGGCTAAGAATAAACGCCCAAAAGTTGGAACAGCCCAAGGGAATCTAGGGCTTAGGGTTTAGGGTTCCGGGTTTAGGGGGTTACTAAAGGGAATCTCAGCACTAGTCGTTCTTAAACCATGTTCCAACTTGATGGAATTTACTGTAAAGTTGAGAGCGCCTTCGGTGCTTGGAGCGCTTTAGGGTTTAGGGTTTTCATGGTACTCTCTACCTTGGACTCTTAAGGTTGTACCCTAGGGTTTGGGGACCCTGTTCAAAGATCCTCTAAGGGAATACAAGGGCCACATTAGGAGTATATTAAGGGGACCTGTCAGGGGTGCGAGTCTTCACCTCTTGAGTTTAGGCCGAGCGTTAGTACACGAACAAGGGGCCTTTCAAGCCCTAGCCCTAAAGACTTAATCCTTAAAACCTTTCTAGACCCTTACGCATTAGAGTCTTCACCCTCAAACACACTCTCAGGAGGCAAAAGTTTCACCCTGAAAACAAGTGGTTCGGGTGTCAGGGTTGAGGAGTTTAGGATTCAGGGTTTAGCGGGAGGTGCTAAGGGTTTATGCGGGCGAGATTGGGGTGAGAGAGAAAGTCGGAAACAAAGGAACCGGGTTTAGGGTGTAGGGCTTAGGGTTTAAAATCGAAAGGGAGATGTTCAATCGCCCCAAAGCTGAAGTTGAAGAAGCCTGCAGCCCTGCAACCACCATCAAGACTTGCAGAAGAAAAACACCTTTTCGCCACAGGGGTTTGGGACGTGTGGGCTGTACCAAGCCGCTACTCTTTAGGGTTTAGGGTTTAGGTTTTTCGTTGGATATTCCCCAAAATGGGGGGGGGGGGGGGCGGGGGAGTCGTGACGACGACGCCGGCACCGGGCAGCATCTCGGGAACCCCCCTTGGATATCCAAATATAACATGATCTCCTTTTTTGAGGAGGCCCCCAAGGGGCCCCTCCATAGTTTAGGTAGCCCCCCAAATTTTCAAACAGGTCTGGGGCTCTGAATTGTTCAGGGTTTCGCGTTTGGGGTTTAGGGTAGAGGATCATTTACTTGGAGGTTCATTGGTAGTTATGAGTAGGGCTAGAAGCCCTGCAAATAGCGTTACATGTACAGGAATAACCCCTAAACCCTAAACCCTGCTTAAAGCAAAGCTACCTAGATAATGGTTCGGGCCTTCTCGCGGAGGCTGAAGAAGAAGTTGACAAACGTGCAGGATCAGAGCCAGCTACAGGCCCGGAGAGGGTCAGGGTTGCGGGTTGAGGGTTGAGGGTTTAGGGTTTAGGGTTTAGGGTTTAGGGCTCAGGGTTCAGGGTTCAGGGTTTAGGGCTGGTTTTTGCTTGGGCTATTGGGATTGGGGTTAAATTAGGGAGTTTCTGGCAACTACCAAGCCCAATAATGCTACTGGAAGACTAATGACTAGTCTATACTAGGTCCAGAGTGCAGGCGGATGGGGGCGGTCGAACATTTTCAGCTGACCACCAATAAGATAATTGGATAGGGGCCAGCATTCTGTAGGACAAAGACCCGGAACCTCAACAAACCCCTAAGCCCTTGAACCACACACCCTAACCCCTATAACATTCAATCCCCACATGCGCGGTCGAAATTGGACTTCGGCCGCGCGTAACTCCTATGTGTTACTAGGGTCCCGTTTGGGGTTATTATTAAAAGGCGGCCCCAAACATTTAGGGTACCCAAAAAGGGTCCTAATTTAGAGAACTGACCATGTAATCCCATGTCAGAGCCGCGGTTTACGGTTTATTGATGTACAACCTATGTGAGCCTATGTAAACCCATGTCAGAGCTGCGGTTGAGGGTCTACAAGTAGGGGCCCCTGACTCTAGTGTTAGATCCTACAAAATAAGGCCTTTCACCCAATTTAACCCACCTATAGCTAGGGGGCCTCTACTTGCAGGGTTACTTGAAGGTTCATGGGTGAAGGTTCATGGGTGACTATAAAGTACCCTAAATGGAGCTCTACGTATAGTTGTCACACTTGGAACCCTACGTAGATATACCCATGAGCCTGCAAGTGGGTGGGGTCTACTTGTGCAGCCTGGCACTTTCAGGGCCCGACACTCCCACACTCCCTGAAGTTAGCGAGTTTGAGTCGCAAAGCCCCAAAGCCCTAGACCAAAAAGGGTTTAGGGTTTGGGGTTTACAAAACAGCCCTAGCAGCCCAATTGCATCGCCAGGCCTTGCTGGCTGAGGTGGAAACTTCTCATGCGCCCTACGTCCAAAATCTTCAATCACATCTTCACAAGCACAGCAAACAAGGAAACCCCTGGATGCTACTTGGCTTGGAGGACCCCCCCACACCGACCCTAAACCCTAAACCTCAAACCCTACACCATAAACCGAACCACAGCCCTAAATCCTCACACGCCGCTTCCCCGATGTCCGAATGCCGCCGCGGTCGCGGAAGCGCGCAGACTCCGCTGAGCAGCTTGGAAAGAAGTCTGATGTAGGGTTTAGGGTAGAGCCGCTGACCAAAACCACAAAAAAGCCCAAAGCCCCAAAGCCCCAAACCCCCAAACCCCCAAGCCCCCCCAAGCCCCCCCAAGCCCCCCAAGCCCCCCAAACCTCTAAACCCTAAACCCTAAACCCCACCAAAAACCCCCAAACCACTTTAAGGTCGCCGCGGTCCCTGGCTGCAGCGTCGGCAGAGCCGAAGCCGGCGCTGCTGATCCTCGACCTGGACACTGCCAGATTTGGGGGTTTAGGGTTTAGGGTTTAGGGTTTAGGGTTCAGCACTCCGGGTCGAGCAGCTTTATGGTTAAGCTTTATTTACGGCTCGGATTTAACACCCACCCACCCAGAGAATCCCACTACATTGAGAAAGCCAAAAACGGCCAAATTCTGAAAATAAAGCGGCCAAATTCTGAAAATAAAGCGGCCAAATTCTGAAAATCAAGCGGCCAAATTCTGAAAATCAAGTGGCCAAATTCTGAAAATAAAACGGCCAAATTCTGAAAATAAAGCGGCCAAATTCTGAAAATAAAGCGGCCAAATTCTGAAAATAAAGCGGCCAAATTCTGAAAATACAGCGGCCAAATTCTGAAAATACAGCGGCCAAATTCTGAAGCGGCAAAATTCTGAAAATAAAGCGGCCAAATTCTGAAAATAAAACGGCCAAATTCTGAAAATAAAGCGGCCAAATTCTGAAAATAAAGCGGCCAAATTCTGAAATTCAATTAGCCTTTGGCCTGATTTTGGCTCCTTCTGAAAATAAAGCGGCCAAATTCTGAAAATAAAGCGGCCAAATTCTGAAAATAAAGCGGCCAAATTTTGAAAATACAATTAAGGTTTAAATATATATGGTAGAGAGGGTTTAGGGTTTAGGGTTAAGAGTTTAGGGTTTAGGGCCTTTTTTGGGTTTATTGGGTTTCTTATTAAGGCAGCTAAAAGTTTAATTTCTAGCTACCCTCCTGAGTGCAGCCAAGATTCGGAGGTTTCCCAAAATAGGGGTACCCTTTTTTGGGGGTCCCTTTAAGGGGTTTTTGATTCTATTGGGGGTTCAAGAGGGGTACCCCTTTTCAAGGGGGATTTCGATTCTAGTCTACAAGGGGTACCCCTATGTTGGGAAATACCCATTTAGCGTCTGTGGGGGTTTGGGTAAATTACAGGGTTTAGGGTTATGGGGCTCCATACCCCTATTTTTCATATCTAAGTCTACCTACCTATATATATATATACATATGAATATATATATATATATGTAAGAGGGACCTTTAGGTACTATGTGATTACTTTCCTTTCTTGGAGAAGGAGGTTAAATAGTTTAAATAGTTTAGATAGTTTAGATAGTTTAGATAGTTTAGATAGTTCAGGAAGCCCCTGAACTATCTAAACTATCTAAACTATCTAACCTCCTTTTCTCCCAAAATATCTAAACTATCTAACCTCTTTCCGGGGAGGCCCCCAGGAGGTTTGAAACTTTCTAAACTATCTAAACTATCTAAACTATCTAAACTATCTAACCTCGATTTTGGGAGAAAAGGAGGTTAGATAGTTTAGATAGTTTAGACGAGCCCCTAAACTATCTAAACTATCTAACCTCGATTTTGGGAGAAACAGAGGTTAGATAGTTTAGATAGTTTAGATAGTTTAGATAGTTTAGATAGTTTAGATAGTTTAGAAAGTTTCAAACCTCCTGGGGGCCTCCCCGGAAAGAGGTTAGATAGTTTAGATAGTTTAGATAGTTCAGGAAGCCCCTGAACTATCTAAACTATCTAAACTATCTAACCTCTTTCCGGGGAGGCCCCCCAGGAGGTTTGAAACTTTCTAAACTATGTAAACTATCTAAACTATCTAACCTCGATTATTGGAGAAAAGGAGGTTAGATAGTTTAGATAGTTTAGATAGTTTAGATAGTTTAGACGAGCCCCTAAACTATCTAAACTATCTAACCTCGATTTTGGGAGAAACAGAGGTTAGATAGTTTAGATAGTTTAGATAGTTTAGACGAGCCCCTAAACTATCTAAACTATCTAACCTCGATTTTGGGAGAAACAGAGGTTAGATAGTTTAGACAGTTTAAATAGTTTAGAAAGTTTCAAACCTTCCCGGGGAGGGCTGCCCAGCTGGAGGTTAGATAGTTTAGAAAGTTTAGATAGTTCAGGAAGCCCCTGAACTATCTAAACTATCTAACCTCCTCCTGGCTGGCTCCCCGAGAAGGTTTGAAACTTTCTAAACTATCTAAACTATCTAAACTATCTAAACTATCTAACCTCCAAATCGAGGTTAGATACTTTAGATAGTTTAAATAATTCCGGGCCTTCCTGAATTATCTAAACTATCTAAACTATTTAACCTCTTTGGAGGTTAGATAGTTTAGATAGTTTAGATAGTTTAAATAGTTTAGAAAGTTTCAAACCTTCCCGGGGAGGGCTGCCCAGCTGGAGGTTAGATAGTTTAGATAGTTTAGATAGTTCAGGAAGGCCCTGAACTATCTAAACTATCTAACCTATTTGGATGTTAAATAGTTTAAGTATTTTTAAGTTTTAAACTTGACGGGAATGCATTTTTGTTTAATCCACAAACAAGATACATTTTTCACGTTAAAGCAACACACATTTACATAAAACCTATAGTATTATGGCTAGATTAAGAGAAGCTGGCCGCTCTCCTGCGGCCGCGTTTAGCAACATGCAAGTTGGTCGCGGCCGCCCTTAGGCGTGCCGCGACAACCCGGCCGCCCTCAGGCGAGCCGGGTTTTGAGATTTGGAACTTAGTCGCGGCCGCCCTTAGGCGTGCCGCGACAACCCGGCCACCCTTAGGCGTGCCGGGTTCAGGCGAGCCGGCCGCCCTTTGGCGAGCCGGCCGCCCTGAGGATGCGATTTTTTTCCCTTTTAAATTCTGGGTCTCCGCCCAGGGGAAACTCTCGCCAATTTTTTTTCAGGCAGTCCGGTGGATTGCTTGAGACCTCAAGTGCCTCAAGCCCTAAATCTCCGCACCGGCTGCCGTCAATATGAAAAAGAATTTTTTTATACCTTTTACGCTGTCAAGACTCACGCGATATTTTTTCTCAGATAACTTTAAGTAGTAGCGGGCAGCGGCATGCAGTCATGCAGGAACAGGTGCTGGTGTGGAGCAGTAGGGCGTGGAGCTGGCGTAGGGGCATGCAGGCATATAGGCTTCCAGGCATGGCATGTAGGCATGCAGGGTGCGGCGTGCAGCGACTGTGCAGGTGGCAGGTGAGGAGTTCAATGAATCCGCTGCTGATGGATGGCGCGCAGGGGCATGCAAGCATGCAGGCACGCAGGCATGTGCTGAGGTGGACCTTTTTTTTTTAAGCACGCTATCAGACTTTATTATGACTTATAAGCCGTTTTTGAACTTAAAGAAAATAAGTAAACTTAACTTTAAGTCGTTGCACGTATTTACTAACTTGGAGTATCTTTCCAGTTAACTTACTCTTAATTGCGCGCTTGTGCTACATCGCTAAGTGATAGCTCAAACACTACTAGCTCGAGCTCAAGTAGCTCCAGTTGTTCCGAAGACAATGCTTGAGTCTTAGAATAAAGGCGCTAGTATGTTTTGCGAGGCTTCTTGCAGAGGTTACAAGAATTAGCAGTATACTTCTGTACTTGCCAAAGCCATCGTTCCAGACTTTCGTTTTCCTTCTCGGCATCAGGCGGCACCATGAGTTTTTCAGCATCCGCCGTTCCTGGCATACGGAATATTGACAGCCACCCATGTCCGTGTATTTTCACGCGGTTTGGGAGTTAC